GGGATTAGTCATGTCGTTATGGTTTTTGGTGTCAGTTGGGGTCCGTATCTTATCCATAGGTTTCTGATCTGTAGACTCATCTAGATCAACAGAGTGATCATCCGTATGTGGAGTGGTGTCATGCTTATTGTTCGTGTGTTTTAAACTATTTGCTATGTTGCAAACTGTCGCTGGCTGATTATTAACTGTAACACTCCCATTCAATTCTATCGCTTCACGTCTTCTTACACGACGTTAACAGGGCGTAAGGTCTGGAGTGACTTTTATATTATTGTATGGAATTAGTGAGCTAATATTTTTGCTTAAATCAATAAACTGCTTAGCATCGTTGCAACAGCCAAACATAAACAAAAGGGGGCAAGTCGATCTGTCTGACTTTTTTCTAAGGTGGCTGTTTTTGCAGTTAACGTTCGGCATACCGCATGCTCTAAGGCAAATATCCCTCAACTTAGATGGGTGTGTGCGGTCGGGGAGGTTATACACAACTGCATTGAAGGAGGACATCACTCTCTTCGTCACTTCTTCGGCCACAAACTCCAAAATACACTCAGCTTTAGTGAGTTGCTCAAGATTTCTGTCTGTGTCAAGGCCCCATATATGAGTGAAGGGTGCTAATTGCTCAAGTTTGCCGTTAATTTCGGATAGAGAGTTTTGTAGCTGTCGGATGTCATTACTATATCAGTATTTTGGTGTGTATGAGGTGGACCATTTGACTCTTTAGTTTTTGTAATTTTAGATTTAGGCCTTGGTAGAACATACTGTCTAGTTGACTGTGCTGACTTTTCGATGAACGTAGGTATAGTGTCTTGTATGTCAACCAGTCTTACCGTTGGCATACTGCACGTAGAGATTGAGGGGCTGCGACATGGAGAATCTGGTGATGAGAGACATTTGTGTGCAATACACATATTTTTCAGTAGTTAAAGGTTCGACATTGTCAAGCACTGAGTCGTCAGTTGTAGGGGTTACAGATTTGGACCTTTTATTTGGCTTAGAAGTTGGTGAAATTTCTCTTTTACTGGAGTCATTGGACATGATATGAAAATAAGTGAGCACAGTGCTCGTTAAATTAAATATAATATCTGAGTATTAGTTGTTATTAAGTATTAACCTGGTTAATACTAGGATTAGAGACTATGAGTATATAATAAATTGCAGATCTATTTACGACTTAAGTCCGCAATAGGTACAATACGAACTGGTAATTGTCCGTCGAATAAAAATAAGTTTTTCCTTATTTTCCGGGGTAAGATGGACCTGATGTACAGGATAGGACGATTATCACAGTATAATACACCCTACAAAAGAGCAAGTCGAAGAATTCCTAAACCACGTGAAAAATTGTCACCACTTTCAAAGTTCGCGCGATGTTCATTGAAGAGGATGAAGGATCCACGAATTCTCCTGGAAGTCGCAGTGTCGTTCCATAAACGAGTTGAGCCGCAGTGTATCCTATGTTAGCTTTCACTGCATCGCGAATACCTAGTAAGACGAGTGGAAGAGCGTCGGTCCACTGTGAAACGTTTGCAGCTGATAGTGAAGCTTTTAGTTGTCGGTGAAAACGTTCTACCAACTCGTTTGCTTGTGGATGGTAGGCGGTCGTTCGGAAGCGAGTGATTCCTAAAAGTGTGGTCAGACGACGGAAAAGTTCAGATTCAAACTGACGTCCGCGGTCTGTGGTGATGGTTGAAGGGCAACCGAAGTTTGCTACCCATCGTTCGACGAAGGTGCGGGCCACTGTTTCACCAGTGATGTCTTTAATAGGTACTGCTTCTGGACATCGAGTGAAACGGTCTACGCAGGTTAAAAGATAAGAGTATCCATTTGAATCTGGTAAAGGTCCTACCAAATCCAGATGAACATGGTCGAAACGAGCATCGAGAGTTTTAAACGAGCCTAGGGGACATTTATTGTGTCTGATAACCTTAGATTTTTGGCAGCTTATACGGGAGCGTGCCCACTTCCTCACGTCTTTATTCATGCCAGGCCAGCAAAACCGTTCTGCTATAAGCTTGATGGTTGCACGAACACCTGGATGAGGAAGTTTGTGCAATGTATTCAAGACATTGCGTCGATAATGTTTCGGCACGATTGGGCGATCTCTACCTGTAGATGTGTCACACAGTAAGGTTTCCTTACCTGTTCCCATCTGTCTGATGCGTAGTTTAAGGGTTGTAGACGATAACTCGTGCTGAAGATCAGTGTCTTCTTTTTGAAGCTCGGCGAGTTTAAGAAGGTCGATTCCTTGGAAACTGTTCAAGGAAGTTATGCGAGATAAGGCGTCTGCAACTACATTGTTTGCTCCAGAGATGTGTTGAATATCTGAAGTAAACTGCGAAATGTAGTCCAGTTGTCGAGACTCACGGGGAGAGTACTTGTCTGAAGTAGAGCTTAGAGAGAAGGTGAGTGGTTTACGACCTTCGATATAGTGTTGAAAATGTCGTACAGCACAATACATAGCTAGGAGTTCCCTACCGAATGTGTTGTACCTCGATTCGGTGTCTAGCAACCATCTAGAGAAAAATGCCAAAGGTTGCCAGGAGTTGTTAACCCATTGTTATAAGACTGTTTTGGGTATGTCGCCAGTAACCATAGTGATTTGGTTATACGCTTTAACCAAGTCGATTTTCGAAAAAACGGTTGTACCTTTCAAGGTAACTGTTGAATTGTCAATGTGAGACAACGGGTAACGATCGGGAATGGTTTTCGCGTTCAATCGCCGATAGTCACCAGTTGGACGCCAATCGTTGCTGTCCTTTTTAGGGACCATGTGCAACGGAGATGCATATGGGCTACTTGAAGGTCGTATGATTCCTAAGTCTATCATATGGTCAAACTCGTTCTTCGCCAACCTCAGCTTTTCGGGAGCTAGTCGTCGTGCTTTAGAGAATACAGGTGGTCCTGTAGTCGTGATGTGATGTGTAACGTTGCTGGTTACACACGGTAGTTTCGGTTGAGTTTGTTGTGTCCCAGGATACTTATCAAGTAGTGGTTGATAAAATGGGTCCATCGTATGCTTAATTGTAACTGGGGATAATTTGTAACCGGAAAAACGGATAAATTAGTGTATCCGTCTATTAGCCTCCGTGTCGATGATTAGATTATATTGTTGTAGAAGGTCCATACCAATGATTGGCATAGAAACATCTGCAACAACGAAGATCTAGTGAATGGGTTTGCGTAAACACACGTTAAGGTAAACGTACCTTTTGCCATACGTAGCAATAGGTTTTCCGTTTGCCGCCTGTAAGTTTAGGGTCGATTCGTGAAGTCGGTCGTTGGATTTCGCTGGGAGAACGCTTACTTCTGCGCCAGTATCGACGAGGTAGCGAACTCTCGTTATCACATCTGTGACGTACAACGGACGGCTATGTTCGCCGGCTACGGTTGCCGTTAACGCGTGCCGGCTTGGAAGTTTCCCGAGTTGTTTTTCGAGTCAGTCGGATTTGAGTTGGTAAAATTGCAGGGTTTTCTGCAATTTCTGGAAGACTTTCCATATTGGTTATGATACCAGCACCAGTCGGGGTTATCCATCTCTCGTGGTCTAGAGACAGATCGCTTACGTGAAATGCTTCTACGTGGGGTGTGCGATCGTTTACGGTCGTTACGAAAATTAAGATAACGCCTAATTGTAAGACATAACTCGGTTATGTCATTCTGAGTCGTTTGGGGCTTTTCTTTGACTGAAAATACCTCGGTAGTAGAAGATTTCGTAATTTCTAAGATACGATCGGCAGATGCAACCAGTTCGTCTAAGGCGTTGTTTCGACACGAGACCAGAACGCTTGCACCTTTTGGGGAAGTTTGGACGAGAAAAGTTGTTTGAATAGACCTTCCTCGAAAGTTCTTAGGCTTATAACCTCTCTCATCCTTTGCAACATGTCCGTAGCAGAACCGTGCTGGAGATCTATGTTATTAAAGAGTTGATTTAACCTTTGTCGATAGGTTAGGTCTCCTCGTTTAAGAATCAAACGCTTTAAGGTTTCGTAAGGTTCAGAAACATCACTAGTAAACATACCAGGTGTTACGTTTCTGTGGTAGTGCCTTGACTACTGCGAGGAATTGTGCACGTGTGTCGATCACGCCGTGTTCGTGGAAGTGGGCTTCTGCGTAGCAGAACCAGGCTTCGATACTGTCTGGCCAGAAGGGCGTGAGCTGGAACGAGGGCGGGGACATGGTCTTAATCTTAAATACCTTAGGAGTCTGTTCGGTCATAGGGGAATATTAAGTGCGAGAATACGAGGGAAAAATATAGATATCCTGAGACACGGGGAAAAATATCACAATGTATAAAAATTAAAAAAGGCAATAATATATAAAAATCCCAAAAAGGGACAGACTCACAGTCGCAATTAGGTGTACCAGATCACGTCGGTCTCAGCAATAAAAAAGACACAGGTATTCAGTGTTCGACAACGCTTTTACCAGCGACATCTAATATAACTTGTACCCACCGAGAGAAATCAAAAGACAGAGTCGAGGAGATCGGAAGAGTGTATTTGGCGATTACCAACATATCGGAATTCTCTGATCTAATCTGGCTAGCGATTGCGGTAAATGTTGAGCACAGCGTTACCACGCGTGATCTGGTGCGGATGCATGACCGAGCGCCTTCAGCTAGATGAGTCCACTAAAACATATGGTCAGCATCCAATGTCGAAAACTTACAGAGTTATTTATTTTGGGGATTTATTTACCGCTACAGACTGTAGACTCAGCTTCTACTCCTTAAGAGTTGTCAACTGCTGGAATTCGCTGCCAACTGAGCTAGTCCAAGTGACTTCCAGGGAGTCCTTTATTAAGAAACTTGGTCAATTCTTAAGGACTAAGGATAACGTTTTATTATGATTTACCAATTTCTTTTTTCCTCTAATATCGTTAATATATCAGGGTTCCTGCCTGGAGGTATTGTTGATCCATTTCTACTAGACACGGAAGCCCGTTGAGCGAAAGCTTCTTCTATTCCGTGCACAACCATTTGAAGCATTTAAATTCCAACAATTCCGCGGCACTTGTGACCCATGACGCTCCTTCCAATGGAAAATGGGGAAGGCATTCTCTGCGCATTAAAGTGTATGGTCTTCATTTGTTAAACCCAAAAATCATAGGTTTTGAACAGGAAAAACCTCTGTCTATACCATCAATTCTCGAAGATTACATCAAACAGATATCCAGAAATGGACAAACAAGGTAATTCCATCACTTGTCAGTTTAACTTATTAGGCTTCCTTGGATATATGTAAAACCATTGCTACTACATAAGTACAACAAAGTGGTCGACTCATTCATATCGGAAGGGAGTGGTTTAGATTACTCAATGTTAGCTACCCCACCTCACTTAAGTGAACTTAGGCAGCGAGTGTTCAATACTCTCAAAAGACTTGATGGGTAAGTTATTATTATAGAAGGATTTTCTTGTCAGAATACCTTTTACTATTCAGAGAATTTGCGAACTATTTGATAGTCCTACTCGTCACTACCAAAGAGTGGATAAGTTCCTGAGAGGACTAGAGAAGGTAATACATGTACATTGAATTCATTAGTTGCAGGTTTGTATGGTGGTATCCACAGTAGACCCTTATGGAAAGTAAGTTCACGTGTGACTTTTACATTATATCAATATTTCTGACAATACATTGCGTTCGGAGTTGTCCAAGTCATCATATCAGAGGCTTGCGTGCTAGGCTGTGCTCTGTTGAATGCTTTTCCAGTTTATGTTGTCATACCTCTATTAATGAACAGGATAAAGTCAGTTATACTGTTGGAGTTGAGCAACAATTTTAGCGGCCCTGAGATTGGCCAATGACAAAACTAAGGATTTATTGCTAAAAAAAGTAGTGAAGACCAAATATGTATAATCTTTTTAAATAGTTTCTTAGTTCATCAGGGTCCGTAATCGATCTTTTTAAATGACGAAACAGACTTCCACTAGAGATACTCGTTTGAGAGATCAGTTTATGCCTAGCTAGTCGAACGAGTTAAATAGTTTTGTAAATATATGGTAAATTTTACGATAATTGTATGCGAAAGTTCTGAAAGACACTAAATGAGATCCTTGATATTTAAAGGCGATTTATACGACATAAGTGTTTATTTTTCACTGCACCAACGAATACATGGTCCAGTTGAGTTTATTTTGTTTGGATTTACCCCTTAATCCCATTTGCTATTGGTTGTGATATAAAAACTATTCATTTTGCTTTGAGGTGCAATAAAGCTCCGTGGTTATGCAACTTATGTTAACAACATTTCTCTTTCACCGCCTCAACCATTATATGTTTGACATCAAAGTGGTGCGGATGTTTCACGTGTCGTGTATTTGCCTGACGAGATATTTGTCACCAGTACGCTCATTTATCCTCGTCCGGCTTTCTACATTAAAGTAGGGTTTTCAGGGTAATAAGTTAGAGCATAGATTGTGCGAACATTGTCTTAGAGATAACTTGAATGCTGTTTCGTATCAACATTGGTCGATACTTATTTGCGTTTGTTGCAAAATTTGAAACTATTTGATCCAAGATTTCTGCTGTATATCAGTCAAGTCAGTGAGTTAATCATAAACACCATGAAACCTAGCACAAATACGCATTAATCCGTGTTGCCACATCGTAGTGCACTAAAATTAAATTATCAATAATATAAATAGGTTGGGCTGTCTGTAATAACTGGTTGATGTTAATTTATGGTTTTATTACGGTGAGAGGGAAATCAGTAGTCCATAACAAATATCATCATGTACTCGAAAGCTTCCTTCATCCTCCAGATTATGTGCTGAAAGCTTATTAAAACAAATTTAAGTAATGCTACTTCTAGCTCTGCTGTTAACCTCATGTTTTAGTTAATGTTCATTGTTTTCAGCAAAATTCACCAAGAAGATCCCAGGTTCCCAAGTCGTGCTGGTTTGGATGACTGTGGGTTATTAATAGAGGGTTCTCTTACTTCACCACCCACCTCTCCACCTCCTGAGAATCCTCAAGTACACCATATTTCCAAGTCCTCAGATGAAGAGGTTACTGAAGAAGATGACGAAGGTGAGGATAATAGTAGTGATGGGAGTGATGAACGACAATCACCAAAAGCTGATCATAGTATGAATCCAAATCCATTAATGAACAACTCTTGTGCAAGTTCGTGGCTTTTCAAAGCACAAAATTCATTGAATCTTCCACACACTCCTCCAATGCCGTTTCGTAGTTCTGTTTCCAAAACCAGGTTGGCAGACCAATCTTTAACAAGTGCTCCTTTACTCAGTGTAAGTTTTTGGGCTGTGTAGTTATCTCATTCGCCTTAGACATGAAATTACCTTTTCCTTGGTTAAAGTTCAAATTTGATTATGTGTTTAAGCGTATAAACTTTGTGTAGATGTGACTATCATGATCAAGTAAGAGCTAGGTTACAGGTTACAAATTAAATACATGATTAGCCAAGCAGTAGTTTATTTCTACATGAAACACGGTAAATGTTATAATAATGTTTCTAAAAATTAATAAAATTTCCTTTTGTAGGGTTTGTGTGGTAGTCTTCTCTCTGCATACTCGAATAATGACGAAGATTACGACCAACTTAATCGATCGTCAGAAAACAAACATACTGATTCTAATACCCAAGTTAATTCCGATCACTTATCGTCTGTTGGATCTAGCTTCTGCTCTGAGTCGTCTGAGTGTTTACATGCTCTACCTGTAGAATCTAACCTACAAGAAAAACCATCAGATGCTTCACATAAACTCTCTTCAGTTGTACAAGATGAAATACAAGATAATTCTCTTCCATGGAATGAGGCGACTAAAATGCCAATCGTCAACTCGGAAACATTGGAAGACACGATAGCTCAGTGTGATAAACCAGATGAAGTATCTAGCAGTGGTATTAAACCTTCAGTTTCCAATGTAAACCGAAATGATTCGCCTTCCAGAAGATTAGAGGTTAGTATCCAAATGAGTTTTGTGTAATATATGTATGATCAATTTGGGAACGCTAATCTTCAACTACTCTGTAGCAATATATTAAGTGAATATAGCAGGTTTCACCAACACTATTTTATTCAAGTTATCACTTGCAGATGCGAATTGTTAGTTTTTTTAACGAAACTCCTAAGTGATCTAGTCGCGATGCTATAAAGTCTAGAATGTTTTTTTTGTTGGATGGAAACGTCTTATTACTAGCAATTTATGGATAGTGTTAATTTCGAAGATCACGCCTCAGTATTCACGTGCCCCCAAATGCCCTGGTACGGTCGAGAGTGAGTTGGGTTAGCTCTCCTTCTCGAAATGCTCTCACATGGCCATGCGTATACAGCCACTACTAGGGAAGTCTTACTCACTACCTTCTCGTGGCGAGGGTGTTGTGTACGAAATTGAGAAGACGAAAAGCGAATGTCCGGCGCTTTAACCGGGTTGGTGAACATGGAGAGTCCACCTAGGGGAGTCGGAAAACCGTGATTCCAAACCAATGGTGCACATGGGCTCCAGTACCCTGAGGGAACAAATGGCGTATGAACCAATTATTGGTCACCGGCTACCATGGGACTGCATCTCCTTATGATGCTCCACTGCCTTGTGGATCAGACCTTCAGGTCGAAGGCTCGGTGTGTGGCCCCCTAAGAAAACCACCTGCTTCGGTCTGGGTACCCTGACAATATCACAGCCCTCACACATATCAAATGAGATTTGTGTGGTGCATATGTATTTGGTGCCTCCTTGTACCAATATCTATGTGTTAAAATAAAAAAATATACAGTATTCACGTTAGACATATAATTAATCAGCGACTCAGAGTTCTATACAGTTTATCTGTTTCCGCTCGTGTCCTGCCCTAGTAATACTGGAAACAAGTTAAAAAGTCTTAAGCTTTTGGATTCACATAAAAGCAATAAATTCCTCATCCATTATGAAAGTTTATGAATTCTAGTACTTCACTGTTCGTCTTAAATCTTATTCGAATTCGGTGACGTTTAGTGGATGACAAAATTTTGCTTTGACTTTATAGCTCGACACAACCGGAGATGAAAGTGGTTTGGCTGGTTGTCAAGTTCTGAGACCTATTGGTCAACTTGAAGCATTTGTACAAAATTTAAATTCTGAAGTTTCTAGCTCAGTAACGTCTGTACCAATGCACAGTGGGTCTCCAAAATCCACAAGCGACCCATCTGCTCATTTGAGTTGTGTATCATCTATGGAGGACCTAAATCATCAGGTAAATCAAATTTATATTCCTAATTTTTATGTGTTTGGAAGATAGTTCTACTCTTGACAGCATGATTATCGTAGTTTAGGTAAAAAATGAGTCAGTAACCGAAAGATGACATCCTAGTTTATGTGAATTCCCTCTTTCGTAAAATATCGGATTTAACCCCGACTAAGATTATCTTATTATATATCGTATAAATCAGATTATCTTTTTGAAATATAGTCACCTAAAAAGCTTCAGTGCATGTTTTCGAATCTCTGATGATCCTCAATTGTAAAAGTCGCAGCAGCAAGTCTTAAAAGTCTAAGTCGTTGATCTAATTTACTGTAGTGTATGGTCATGAAACCTAATAAATACTTCTGTAAAGTACATTACTCCAGTTGGTTTGAAAGTCTTTGATTTTTCAGTTTCATTCTTACTGTGATAGTTTCTTCGTTAGCACCGAAAATTCATGTTAGATTTACTTAAATTTCCCAAAATAACTTTTAAGACCTATTTTCTCTCATTTGTTTTTTGTAACTTTAGATTTCGTGTTTATATTTTCAAACTGCCTGTTTTTTCTTAGCATTCATAAGATATCCTCCTTATCAACTTGTTGATGTCTGTGTTATCTCGTCACCGTTTTCAAGAATATCAGTCCCTAAGTAGGATGTATGATTATGTATTTTCCATCTTTATTTCTGACGTTACTGACCTGAGTTCGGTTTAAACACAATAGAGTCGCATTACCAAAATTATCTGGTCATTGTATTTATAGACTGTTTTTATTTTCTAGGGATCAATTACTTCATCTAACTCACTCTTACCTGTTTTGGTTGGGGTTAGACGTCCCCGTTCACCAGGAATGGATTCTAGTGGTAGTGATCCTAATGTTTCAACAAGCAAAGATGCAGATTTGTCGGAAAGTCCCGCCAAAAGACGTAGACTTCCGTCTTCAGATTTAACTGAAACGGTAGAATCTAGTACAGATTCATTAGTAAGTTTTGGTCAGTGAATTGTGATACGATGTTTTGATAACTATAAATTTAATAAAAGTTTGAGATTATGTCACTTTCTAGTTCCGAAGGTGATATATTTTCCATCGAATTCTTATTGTTTGCTTAGGTTCGGGCTCCTGGTGCAGTATTCCAGCCCTCACACATATCGAATGATTTGTGTGGCGCGTATGCATTTGGTGCCTTCTTGTATCAGTGTTTATGTGTTTAAATAATGATGGTAAATAAGTGATAATTAGTTACTTGAGATTATTTATTGTTACATTCGTTTATATACTTTTGATTATGAACCATAATTTATATTATCTTTAAACTCTTCTTAGTTTCCAAATCTGAAATGTTATTGCTGGCCATCCGTTCGCACCCAGTAATTTTTCTCCTGATATCGAAAAAATAGTTGCTGTTAAGATGACATCGTTCTTGCTATGTGTGTATTATCTAAAGCAGGTTGTTTAATTAATCAACTACCATTGCAAATAATCTCTTATTAAATGAACATATGTTTCATTTCAAAACGGAAAACTGTGCATGTAGCATCAAAACATCGACAAATCATAAGCATTTAAAACCGATGAACAAAGTTGGATTCAAGTTCACCACTCGGTTCTCTTTTGTTTTATTCAGATCTTTTATTTAAAATTTTATGAGTTGTTTTAATGTACTTGTGTAGTAGAAAAATAAATTCAGAGGATTTATTTTTTAGATTTCAGTCTATGATTATATAAAATAATAGTCTGGGAAATGTTAACGTTTTCAAATTTAGCCACAAGTGCAAAGTTAATGCCATTCAGTAGGTATATTCTTGCTATAATCTATGCATTTGAGACTGTCTAACGTATTTATATAAATCTTTTTTTCGTTCCAACAGGTTGGCATTAGTTTCCAGATTGTGACTTCATCATCTTTGGCACTGAATGATTCTCCTCCCATTATTATGTGTAATCCTACGAATCAAACTCGTGATATGGATTCTGGTGAATGCATTTTCGAAGCTTCAGAAAATCCTAGTTCTGGTCAGTCTGTAGTCGATCCAATCTCAGCTAGTGATAACATGTCTAACTTACATGAAGCAGTGAACATTAGTTTCGCACAAAATTCTGAGTCAAGTTCAGAGTCTGTAGAAGGAAGTGAGACAGTTTTGATAAACAATGATAATATTGGACTATCAACTGTAAACTTGTCGAATATTAATTCGGAAACCGGAGAGGAAGAGTCATAACATCATAATCATAACTACCAATGTTTTCTAGAAAAATATTGTGGTTTCAAGGAATTTCATAAAAATACTTTTTAAGTGTATATCATATTACTTTTATTATCATTGTAAAATTTTTGAACCTGCTTGCTTTTTTCAGATTTTCTGATTGTAATCGTTATTTTTAATATTATTTCGTTAGTCAAGCTTGATGCAGTGTACTATTCGTAACTATATGTCAGTCTTTAAAATTGATAGAGGGCAATCTCATTTATCGGTTATTTTGGTGTTTTAAGTGGCTTATTTTGTTTCTCATTGTAAATCTCACTCTTAAACAACTTGCATCGTTTAGTTTCGAGACGAAAGATGTTATCATTTGTCAATTCGAATCTTATTTTACTTTTTGCCGACAGTCAATTTAATAACATTGTATCACACAAATTAAAGAGTTCCTATCAGAACTGTAAGGATTTACAAGTTTTATAATAAAAAATGCTAGGTTATTGTCACCATTATTTTTGTATTTAAATTTTATATACTTGGGAGATGATCTAACTTAGAAAAAATCTTGTAAGCCAAGATTTTAGTTACTTGACACTTAAGAATTCATTTGGATTTCGAAACGTTGAAAAGTAAAGGCACCGATGTGCTTAGTCAATTATTTTTTTATTACGTTAGTTATATATATCTTGGGACGTGATATAAATGCGTGTCGCTCCGAGCTATCACACCTTAGTAAAGCATAGAAAAATAAATAATTAACCAAAGTCGAAAACGCAAAGAAGTGACAATGATAAGATCTATTTCATTGAAAAATGAAGTACTAAGACATATAATTCAAAAGGAATAAATTAGGACGGTAAATGACGTAAACGCAATCCATACCACTCATTGTTTGAAGTTATAGATTATGGTTGTAGTTTTGACACCAACTAGTAAGTCGATATCTCCTTACACGGATCAGATCAGAATTCAGTGTCTCAAAATAACCATCTAAAGTTGGCTCATGCTCAGAGATTCTTTTTGTCTCATAATATGTAGGTGTACGTTTCATATGTGGTAAAATTGAGATGTTGCATTGAAGACTATTCAACTTACAACAAATCTTTAAGCATCAAGGAGAACGCATGTCAATTGCGTCAAGAAATAATAGAAGACAGTTATGAGTAAAAAGGAAATGGTCAAATAATATTACATAGATGTAACGTCCGTCGTATAATAGAAATTGCTCTAGGTTTATTGTGCTTTTATAGCATTATCGTATGTATTGTGGATTCTTGCTTTGAGATTGAAAACATTTCAACTATTTGTAAGTTTGTATTATCCTATAAAAGCTCCCAAAACGGTTGTGTTTAGTAAATAATCATTCTTCACATGTGTTTATCATATCTGTTAAACGTGGTTGCCCCAAAATATGCTAGGAGTCTTATATCAAACTAGCTATATTTTTCTCCCTATTTCTCCACTCATAAAGCAGTTCCTTAATGATTGTAAAATTGATGTTCAAATTTGGGTATGTCATTAAATGTTTAAGAGTAATTTAACTGAACTTTCGGCGAACCAATGAGGTATAAGATAACTGATCTCGGATTTCGGCGCGACATTCACTCATCCATTTGGCTAAATAGAATTTTGGCATTATGGCTGGTGTCAGTTCGTGATGAAAACCCTAAATCTAATTCCTAACCCTAACCATCAACCGTAAATCCTAATTCTAATTACTCACACAGGTTTATAACACTCATTTGGTCTTAATCACTAGATGGGCACCCTCAGGATCACTTTAACGTTGCTCAAATATCGTCCATAAATTCTAGTTTCACCGAACTTTCTAGTCAGCTCACGGTATACTGTTAAATCAACTGCTCTCACTCACTGTAGGTCGAATCAATTTGATTATGAATGTAATTACAGTGCTGTGAATTCTTACATTTTTTTAACCATTATGGTGTTTCTTTAATATTAGTTTCTTAGTAAGATAGGTAGTATTAGACATAGTTTCATTATGAATGAAATCTCGCTTCGTCTCCTAAGTTTCCACAAACTGAGCACTATGTAATTTACATCGAATTAATTTTGGTCACTCCACCAAAATTCTCCGAAATAATACGGTCAGAATAATCGGTTCAAATGGGATAAAAATGGGGGACATATATATATCAGAGGCTATAGCTATTTACCGACTCAGGCTTAAACTTTTTATACAAAGCAGTTGATCAATCCCTCATTCTACCATGGTCTTAACCTTTATTTCTGCATCCCATAGTCTATCGTTTTTCCTACTCTTTCCCAATTATTTTTCATAACTATCAATTAGTCATTATTACAACTTTCAACTATTCTTTTCTTAATATCCATCAAGTGGTCAGTTATCTTCACCTTAACATTTCTCATTAGCCGCTGAATTGTTATGTAGCTTCCTTTCAATATCTGAGTTTTGTAAACAACTTGCGACGCGATACTAATTCAATTTGACATCACTGACTGACAACTTCTGGTTGTCGACAACAGTCAATCCATGTTGTAAATTATCTTCAAACCAATATCATATGTTAAACATTCCAGGAATATGGTTTTTAATCAGTACCTATCTTCTAATTATGATTCATTGATTCCTATCCCAATGTTATTCATCCCTAATGATATTACATTGTTTAAAGAATACATTCATTATTTTTTAGTCTGGGATTTATCACCGTACTGGTAATTACTAAGCAATGAAGGCCTTCTGTATTGTGAATAGTTTCTACGACAGATATAATTTTTTCTTTGGTTTTCAAGGAGAACATGAACAAAGAGAATCAGTAAGTAACATCCAATAATGAGAGTAAATTAATTTGTTTATTGATAAATTTTCAAAATAAAACTTGACATCAATACACGTTTTATTGCCTCAGTGTTCGTATTGTTATTTTTCTATGACATAGATTACAATAAAAGTTTTAATCTCTTTGATTCCATGTTCCTCTGTGTAGTATACCAGCACAATTATTGCATTTAAAGCAAAATAAATGAAAGACATTAACTCTTATTTCAAGGTGTTCTGCCGGATATGCTGGTTATGAACATGTTTCACATATTAAGAGTCCAGCCACCTGACCATCTGATAGTGATTCAAATAAACTGTGACAATTAGTGGAGGTATTGTGACTTTTGTTTCAAGTTGTGGATGATAATTACTGACTATATCTTTTAGTACAATGACTGAACTAAAATTGTTCAGCTCGCACAAATTTCTTTTATCTTAATGCTCTTTCGATTATGATTCACTATTAGGGATAGTTTCTCTCGATTTATCACTAACTATATCCTTGAAATTTGATAAATTGAATTGATGATGCTCTGGTATCTGTGATTGAAAATAATCGGATTGTGATATTGCACCAATCGATAGGAGGATTTCTTGATCTAAGTCAATTAATGTATTAAACAAAAGGTTATGTAAATGTTACCAAACTGTCATTTCAGATACCGTAAGAGATTCTTTTGAAATTGATGCAACAATTATATTCTGGCTATATACGTCAACAACCTGATCCTTATTATGATTTTTCATTGTTGTATCTGTAGAATTGTTCATCATTTGGACTTTGTTATGAATCGATTCAGTGGAGTCATCTTTATTTACTTCAATCGTTTCATTCAATGGAATAATTTTCAACTTATCAATTACATTATTCTCTTTTTGTGAAGCACCTTCAGATTGTGTCAGATTTTTTGTCTTTGTTTTATTAGACTTCAATGTTGAAAATATACTTGAATTTTTAACAGTTGAAGATTTATCAATTGCAGTCTTTCTTTTATATATTACTACCATTGAAGTAACTACTTCTAAGTGCTCGCGCGCGAAGCCAGTAGGTCCTGGGTTCGAGCCCCGGGTGGTGCGGGGTCGTGGATGCGCACTGCTGAGGAGTCCCATACTAGGACGAAACGGCCGTCCATTGCTTCAAGGTTTTCAATGGTGGTTTAGCTTCAACTGACTCATGAGTTCAATCTGTGAAAATTTCTAAAAATCTCCACAAAACACATTCTGATAATCCTTTTTCTGTTTGTACGTTTAGTTATCATAGTTGGGAATGTTCTGTGAAAAGTGTGATCATTTAGTTTAGAGAAGGGTAGTTCTTTCAGTTATTCTATAGGAGTTATTCGTTGATTATATAATGGACATCGTTTAGTATTACCATAATATAAGTATGATTGGTATGATTGTTGACAATTTCTATGCTGTTGCTTAGTCTTATCATATTTATTGTACACCAGTAAAGTTCCAAGCATTTGTAAAAAGATAATTATGCTTTTAATAATCGACTTTTTTTGTAATATAATCAGCTTGATACAATTATCAGTTTGTTTCAATTGAATAAAATAGTCTTTCTTGGACATATACATGAATCATACCAAATACAAATGAATTTCTTTATAGCAACTTATCCTTGTTATATAACGAACATTATCAGCAAGTGGTAAACACCTAAGATTCACTAATTCAAATAATAAGATTGATTGATTTTTTAAAATCACAGTTATACTACTGATTTTTATATGGTATTTAAGTGATTCATGTTAACTTCTGTGATTTTGATGGCTGATAATGTATCACTTGATTAGAATTATGTCTAACTTTTTAAAATGTTTCCCACTTTTTATTGCCATCTGAAACAAATATAATTTTCTTTAGCTTTTTAGCGGTTAGTTCATTTTATGAAACTGTTCAATAAAACAAGAAAAATAATGATAAGTGAATATGTCAGTTAGTTATGCATGTGCCCCCGAATGCCCTGGTACGGTCGAGAGTGAGTTGGGTTAGCTCTCCTTCTCGAAATGCTCTCACATGGCCATGCGTATACAGCCACTACTAGGGAAGTCTTACTCACTACCTTCTCGTGGCGAGGGTGTTGTTTACGAAATTGAGAGGACGAAAAGCGAATGTCCGGCGCTTTAACCGGGTTGGTGAACATGGAGAGTCCACCTAGGGGAGTCGGAAAACCGTGATTCCAAACCAATGGTGCACATGGGCTCCAGTACCCTGAGGGAACAAATGGCGTATGAACCAATTATTGGTCACCGGCTACCATGGGACTGCATCTCCTTATGATGCTCCACTGCCTTGTGGATCAGACCTTCAGGTCGAAGGCTCGGTGTGTGGCCCCCTAAGAAAACTACCTGCTTCGGTCTGGGTACCCTGACAATATCACAGCCCTCACACATATCAAATGAGATTTGTGTGGTGCATATGTATTCAGTGCCCCTTTGTACCAATATTTATATGTTCAAACAAAAGAAGCCATGGATTTATGAATTTAAAAAATAGTTTCACATATATTCCGAAGCATAGCTTGATGAGTTCACTACTTGTTATTGCTAGAGAAAATGATTTCCAATTTGTTTGATAAGCAAATTTTCAGTCAACTACATGCAAACAATGAGCGCTTAGTTTATGATACCTATGTATTCAGTCATTATCTTAATAACTAAAGCAAATAAGATATCAAACTACAAATTAACTTATTGTTATTCTGACTTTTATGAACGACAGAGAATGATAGCATAAATCAACACTTGTAAATTTTCAAAAACTAGATTTAAATTTATTAGGGTAATACGGTAAAGCTAGTAGGAAATGTTGATTTCCAACCTTCGTACTCGATCTCATTTTTGTAATTGAAAGTTCCTCCAGACTATCTCGTTTCATGATAACACCATTCATAAACCTCAGCAGTATTCTCAGTGAACCGTTGAATTTATAATCTTAAAACCATGATAAAATTTGAAGTTACATTGTTATGTGTTGTATCTCACAGTAAATATTACGAGCAAACACTACTATGTCAGTTGGTGTTGCGTTATCAACAGCTATTATGGGTAGAGTCCAGGACCAAAATAAAACTTTTACAATCATACAGTCAAAATTGAAGTACATAACATCATGAAAAGCATCTATTTAAACTAAGAATCTTTTTCTAAAATATTAAATACTAAGATTCTCTGTTATTTCTTCCTTTTCGTTGTGAATTAGTTAGATTCCACTTTTCATATATATTTAAATTCTTAAATAGGTATTATTCCAGTTTATTGGTTAGTAAATTTGCAAGTTCTCAGGAAGTGTTAATGACATATTTGTCTTGTAGATTTCTGATAGCTTGTACAGTTCTAAAAGTGTTTGCGATTTTTGATGATATTAATAATTATGATGAATAGCATAGTTTTAGTCTTTATAGATTTAATGTAACTAGGGAATTTATTTCGGTGTTTATTTTGGATTTTCACTTAGATTTCAGGATGTTTATAATATTTGTGATATTTCATTGGTATACCTTCCTAGGGAAAATTGTCATTTCGTTTTATGACTGATTCAATGAATACACTTTATCCTTGACTTAATTTTAAATACTTTAATTTAAGTACAGCTTTATGTCATCTATTTTGTTAAAATGTCATCATATAGAATAGAAATGGTAGAAAACTTGATTTTCGCATTAATTACATTCAATTTTCAGTATTAATGAAAACTGGAAAAAAAGGATGCTAAATGGATAACGGGGAAACTGTATTTATTGAAATATAATGCACTAAATGTGATACCATATGTTTAGAAGGATTATCATTGAGTCGATCAAATATCAAGGTAAAAGGACACGAATAATGTATGAAATAAATTCTGTCAACTTTAGATGACTTTTCTAAGATGAAAAATAGGTCGGTTATGACAATACATTCAATAGAAGCAAAATACAAAATTGACTTTGAACCAAACTTATGAAAAAAGAATTTACGTAATGCTAAAAATGGTTAACTACTGTAACCGTAAATATATGGTGGATTCCCGATAGACTGAATAGTTAAGAGGTATTACAGTCAGCTTTAATTTAACAGTTACCGATCCGTTATCTTTAGGTGAAAAACTTTGCTAATAAGTTTACTCCATTTTTTGCTTAAAAATTAATTTCAATGGTTAAGATCGAGTCAGTTGAAGCTAGACCACTATGGAAAACCTGGAAGCACTGGACAGCCGTTTCGTCCTATTGTGGGACTCCTGAGCAGTGCGCATCCACGACCTCGCCCCCTGCGAGATTCGAACCCAGGACCAACTGGTTTCGCGCGCGTGGTTAAGTGCTTGTGCAAAATAAACGAACTATTGCCAGTTTAAAACTGAACCAAAGGTAAACATCATATAAGTACAATACATATATAATAATGTTCCGAGTTAGCAACACATGTACACTGCGTACTCAACGACAATTTCAACATGGCAGTAATAGCATTGATTTCAAAGATAATGTATTTTATAAGCACACTGAGAGAATAAAGATCAAAATGAAGATTGCTACTTATAAGTGTTTGAAAGTAGTTTGAGTGTTTTCATTTAATTTATTGCCAACGTTGCACATGTTTCCAAGCTTTAAATATCGAATGTGAAAAAAAAACAATTTTCTGTGCATTCTGGAGACAGTTTTAGATGCGAATAGTAGCCCATAAGTGGCTGGGTTGAATAAAGGAGAAAAATATTGCTGGGGAACATAATAGACGCTACTTTCTTCCTAGAAAAATATTTCATATATCTTTATCACAGACTGGTTAAATTACATTGAGTTATTTCTTTCAAAAAATAAGAAAAATAAATATTGTTTAAAGAACTTAAATGTTGTATTATTGTCTGTAGGAGACAAGTTTGTTGTCCGTTTAAGATTTTACAGTAGTACCAAGAAATTTGTTACTGAATTTTATGAGAAATGGACAAAATAAATCACCCGAACTTATTTTTCATTTCACTCTGTCTGGATTCTAATAAATGATGCTTTAGTTTTTATTTATAGTTATTGCTGTTCCAAGTTACAAAAAACGAGGCATCAAAGAGTATATCCTGTTGTCGGAAAAGAGAATTTTTGTGAAAAGTTGAATTATATGATTCTTTCAAGACCATAGTTTTTCTATAAGCAAAGATGGATAGTGACTAGCAGTGGAATCCATGATGCGCGTTTGAAGTGAAAATTATTGGGTTTGAGTCCCGGAGTGAACATCAACTCTGGGATGGAGGTATATCCAACTGACGAGTTCCAATTAGGACGAGACGCGCGTCCTGGATTCCATTGCTAGCCACTACCCATCTTTGCTTAGAATGCTTGTGAATTAAGTCAATATCGAGGCAATCCTCACAGGATGCAAATATGCCAACAAGAGGCTGATCGATTGCTGTCCTAAATAACAATGGGAAGTTACAAGCAAACAACATCAATTGAACATAGTTTTTCTAGTTTAAATAATATAACAGTATAGCATTTCTGGTTGTATGGTCATTAATGCTCATTGCTCAAACACTTTAGAGACTGAATACTTATTGTGAGTTGACTCTAAACAATATAGGCTCACACTGGAGCATAACTCTTCGATGAAAGTGGTTGTTAGGACAGAACAGTATCACAAGCGAGCATGTATAGCACCGCACTGGTGTTATAATATGACCAAAGTGTAATAAAAAGCATATCTACGTTAGGATCTGATCCTAGAACCATAAAAGGAAGCTATGGTCTCATTTCTTTGATCGATGAAAATTTAGATGATCTTCAAGGCAGTCTGTATCCATTAAGCTGTTGTACTGTTTTATAATCGTTAATTCATATAAAAATTATTGAATATGACCTGTATTCAAATTCTCTTAAAATAATCTCTACAATGAATAAATTACATTTTAGTAGACAAGCAAAGGTTTGGGTAATCTACACTGAGGTACATCTTTTGCATGGGGGTTACTGACATATTTACGTTTTTCAGGAATTTATACATCATAGTCGTATAGTATTGTATAAGTCAACATCGTAT